ACCCCAGCGCCGACATGAGCGGTACGTCCAGCATCACACGTGCGTGTGCCGTGTGCGGTGGTTTCTGATGGTGGGTTGGGCAGATCACCTGAGGTTCGCACTCGTGTCGGAGAAAGGCCAGACGGTGGCGCGCTTCACAGCGGCGTCCGCGACGGATCGTCACAGCTGGCTGACCGACCTGGCCAAGCTCAAGATCACCCGAGAGATGTCCCGCAAGCACCGAGCCGGTACCACACACAACACCCACACACGCCTGTGCTCGTTCGTGTCGACTCGCATATAATGATGGTGATGGCCAAACTGGATGGCGCCGGTAATCGCGCAGAGCTGCTGAAGCGGGCGCGCGGCAGCGGTTCGGTGATCTTCCTCTCGTCGTCGTCGCGGTCGGTCGGCTCCGGCATCCAGACCAACAGCAGCGACTCGACCTCGCTGTTGGCCGCCGCCGGCGGCGGCTGCGGTGCCACCTCCAACTCCCTCTCCGCCGCCCACTTCCGCACCGCCACTGAGGCGATTTCGGTCGACACGTCGGCCTCGTCTTCGTTGCTGCCGGCCGTCGCCGACGTCGGCCACGCAGCAGCGGCGGTGCTCGAGGAGGGCGAGTGGAAGTCGAGCTACGACCCGATCCTCGCCGCGGTCCTGGGCAAGATCTACGCCGACGCCGACCGCCTCGAGAGCCTCATCGCCGCTGCGGGCCAGGGAGCGGCGGCCGCAGCGGCGACCACGGCGGCGGCGGACAGGAAAGAGTGCGTCGGCGACGGCGACGGCCGATCGCAGGCGCGGAGGGATAGCGTGCTGACGATAAGGCCGGCCCTGCACAAGCTGCTGTCGCTGCACGAGATGCGGGGCGGCGGCGGGCTGGGCGAGCGACAACGATCGGCCACGTGGGACGGCAATCCGGACGCGGTGATGCGGAAGAAGACGAAGAAGAAGATCACCGGTGGCACGAGCAAGAAGTCGTCGTCTGAGAAGAAAAAGAAGACGACGACGGGCAAGGAGGCAACGACGACGCGGCGCAAGGTGATGATGCTCCTGCAGCGTACCTCGCACGACGAAGGGATCGATGGTGTGTTCCTCAAAGCTGCAGAGGACCAAGGAACCAACAAAGGTTGTCGTCCTTCTGCTTGACATGCTCGCCTTTTCTACTTTCTTGAGGGTGGTGGCTGATGATGATTGAAGTCGCTGAATGATCGTTGTAAATCCTGGCAGGGGAGTATTATTGATGAAGGAGCGCACACTGCTCCTTCCTCATCTTCTTCTCTTATGTACAATGGCGTTTTCCTTCCCTGGCTCGGGGGGGTGTGGGATCTTGCTGCTCGCCACTCGATCAAATTGGGGCTAGAGCGGCAAAAATTTGCGCTAATTTGTCAAAAAGGTTAGAGGTTTGTACAGAACGATGTTGAGCATGCTTGAGATGAGGTGATTCTACCTTCTTCTTGTTGCGGATGGCGTCGGCAGCTGCATTTTTGATGATATGATACAATTTTGTGTTAGAGCTAATCGGAACGCGGGCTAGTCAAAAAGGGCGACATACCTTCAGGATGCTCTCGGAGGTACATATCAAGTTCTCGTAGTCTGTCCTCGGTGAGCTTGCGCGATTGTTCGAGCATCTGCTCGGGCGTTATGCGGGCGCAGAAGGCGGGTGGAGCAGGCAACTCCTCCTCGCTCCAATCTTCCTCCTCATCCATGGCAGTCTTGTTTCGCCGCAGGATGTTCATCTCTATCTAAGCTGTTGATGGAAGTGGTAGAAGATGAAAGGTGGTAAAGCGTTGTCCGATCTCAATCGGTTCGTTCATTTCCAGCCCAGCATTTTTATCGGACGCGTTTCGTTTTTCGCGCCTTTTGTTCCAACGGTGCAAAATCCAAAAGGAAATTCGAATTCAAATATGAAAATGATTTTAAATTGTTTGGCTGTCGCTTCTCGGTGTTGGAACGCGGCGAGGAAACAGAGGAACGCGACTTCTGGTCGGCCATTAAATTAATCTCAATCGACTCATCGTTCGATTTCGTTGCCTTTGGAGCTGAAGGAGAGAATGCAGAGGCGAGGCTACGCCCGAGATGACGAATTGCGCTTCCTCCCGCGCCGTCCATTCGGGGCTTGGGAGGCGGGGGAGAAGGAGGGAGATTTTGTCAGCGACGAAGAAGGATACCAACCAATTGGCGACACGGAGAAGGATCAAGCGCTGGTCGCGCGGCGCTACGAGATGATGACCGAGGTCCTACGCGCGGGATCGCTCATGCTCGCCGCGCTACTCGCATTTGGCGCGATGCTGGTCTACTTGCGCTTCCTCATGGTGCCCCTCGTCTTCTCGCGCTTCCTCGTTTACGCGTTCCAGCCCCTCGTCAAGTACCTCAGCGGCCGACGGCCGTTCTCGTGCCTTGGATCCACCGTGCGCCTCGCATTGCCGCGATGGGCGTCGGTCCTGATCATCCTGTCCCTCATCATTGCAACGCTGCTCCTCCTCTGCTTGGTGCTGGGATTCACCATCAACGATCTCATCTCCAATTCCGAGTACTACCTGCTACGTATCGATCGCCTCTCCAACTCTCTGGTCGCCTTTGCCGAAACGCTGGGCTACAACAAGGAGGACATCAAGAAGATGCTGCCCGAGTTCCAAGTCAGCGCGTACGTGCTGGCCCTGCTCGAGTTCATCACCAACCGCTTCCCCGAGATGATCCTCGTGCTGCTCATCGTCGTCTACATGCTGCTCGACCTCGAGGACCAGGAAGAGCAGCTCCTGGCGCACCACAAGCGCTCGCTCGCCGCCAAGCGCGCCCACCGCATCGACAAGCACATCCGCACCTACGTCATCGTACGCTAAGCACACACGACACACACGACACACACGACACGACCAACGACACGACACGACACGACCAACGACACGACACGACACACACGACACACACTGACGTTGTGCGTGTGCCCGCAACACAGATTCACAGCTTGATTTCGCTAGCGGCTGCGGTATGCACGACTTTCATTCTGTTGGTATTCGAGGTCGATCTGGCGCTCTTCTTTGGCCTGGTGACGTTCGTGCTGGGCTACATCCCCAACATCGGCCCGGCCATCTCCATATTCCTGCCCCTGCCCATGGTCGTCCTCGATCCTCGGCCCGTTGCCGTCCGTCTCATCTTCATTTTCATCTTCCTCGCCATCACTCAGGTACTTTCACCGCACACGCAACCGCACACACCGCACACGCTCATGTGTCGATCTACTCCGCAGTTTGCGTGGACGCAGTTTGTGGAGCCGAAGGTGTTGGGTCGCGTGATGAACATCCCTCCCGTCACCATCATCGTGGCCCTCCTGTTCTGGGGCTCGGTGTGGGGCATCGTCGGTGCCATCATCTCGGTATTTATCTACTCACTCCTTCTTCGCCAAACCCAAAGATTCACAACCTGTTGGGGTTCACAATCGCTCATCACCATTATCACAGGTGCCGTTGACCGTTTCCATCAAGATGTATCTGGAGAGCTTGGATCATCCTGGTACTCTCTCTCTCTCTCTCTCTCTTCATCTTCTGAATGATGTGAAGCGTGGTGCATGGACTGATCGTGCATGGTCTCGGTCTCCTACTCGTCTCGTCTCCCAGCAACACAAGCCGTAGCGGGGATGCTGGGCGGCAATTTCAGCGCGTTCGATCTCACTCGCGAGGACTTGGAGCTCGAGCCCGAAGACGAACAGGCCGCCAGCTTCCCTCAGAACGACGAGCCCGTCGTCGACATGCAGGCGCCCAAGCCCACCGCAGTCTACTACTAGCCGCTCCGCTCCGCTTCCCACCGTAAACCTTCCTTAGTTATCTTTTCGTTTATATTTATTATTTATTTTTGTGTTGTAAATAATAATAATAATTATCCACAAAAAATTCAGGCGCATTTCAGATAAAAACCAAGGTAGGAAAGCAGATAAAGATCAAACGTGCAATGGAGGAAGAGGGGCGTGCTGTGGGGCTGCTGCCAGTTGATGCGTGGCTGCACGTGTTTTCTTTTCTCCCTCCACGCGACCTGCTCACCATTGGCCTGGTGTGCTCCGAATGGCATTCTCTCTCCGCCCACAACCACGTAAGCCCCCTTTTACTAATAAATTAATTATCACAATGAACAATTATAAAAATTAAAAAGAATAATAAGATGTATTTGTGTGATGTGTGCAGGTGTGGCGGGTGGTGAACGAGGCTATGCAGCCATCAGCGTTCTATTCGCACTACGCCGCCCACCTGCTCGCCGAGGCCAACGCAACTGTTGATGATGGGCAGGAGGCGGCGGCGAAGGAGACGAGCAGCTTCAAGCGGGCCTTCTTGACGCGCTGCGAGCGCGACCTTCGCTGGGAGCGCAAGGAGTACTCCACACAACGCCTCCACATCTCCCTCGGAGAGTGGGACTTTAGCGTGCGCGGCGTCGCTATCGCTCCCACGGTACGCGCCTCTTCTTTTCTTTTCCACCTCAAGGGGCCTTTCTCAACAACAACACCACACAAACAGAACAAGGACGTGTTTTCTGTGGCCGCGTACGACGGAATTGCTCGCGTGTTCAAGAACGGGTACGCGCACGAGCTTGCACACACCTTGGCTCTCATGTGTCGTGTGTGTCGTGTGTGTCGTGTGTGTCGTGTGTGTCGTGTGTGTCGTGTGTCGTGTGTGTGTGTCGTGTGTGTCGGCTCTCGCCGCATGTGCTGATCACACACATCACACGCTCGGCAGGAAGAAGCTCTCATCTGTTGCTGTGCCGAAAAAGCGAGACATCTCCGCCAACCTCAACTCCACTCGATGGACCTGTGGCGGTGCCAAGGTCTGACACACACACATGACACCTCATGAGCTTAGCACACAACACGGCCCAGCACACACTCACACAAGGCCGCGGCTGTGTGGGTGGTGGTCCCTTGCTGTGCGCAGGTGGCGTTCGGCTCCCACTGCAAGAGCTTGTTCGTCTACGACGCCGAGACGATGCACCTCCACCGTTCGTACCACGACGCTTTCTTCGGCGGCAGCGACCGTGCTCCCTTGGGTGCGTCTCCTTGCGCAATTTTTTAAAACAGATTAATAATTATTGCTGTGCACATTCCGATATTTAACATGTTAAATTACCATCGTACATCAACATTTGTCATTTATTTGCCCACCATTGTGTGTGTGTGTGTGTGTGTGTGTGTGTGAATGGGTGATTGAATGCATTACAGCGGCACACCCGGAGGATCCCAACCTGCTGCTGGGTGCAGGCAGCAACAACGCCACGCTCACCGTGTTTGATTTGCGTAGCGCCGAGCCCGTCAAGCAATGGAATGTACGCACATGCTGTCTTGCTCTTGCTTTGCCGGGATGTCGAACCTATTTTCTTCTGGTGCCTTATTGCGTGTGTGTCGTGTGTGTCGTGTGTGTCGTGTGTGTCGTGTGTGTCGTGTGTGTCGTGTGTGTCGTGTGTGTCGTGTGTGTCGTGTGTGTCGTGTGTGTCGTGTGTGTCGTGTGTGTCGTGTGTGTCGTGTGTGTCGTGTGTCGCGTGCGTGTGTACAGCCGCACCGAGGCACGGTGAGGGACGTGTGCTTTGTGGAGGGCGCCGGGTTTGGCATCAAGGCCAAGTGGGCCGTCGCCTCGATCAGCGAGTCCAGGACCGTTCATGTGCGCCACTTCTCCTCTTCCGTGAACTATACATTCTCGCTCACAACTTGGCAACTTATCACGTGTCGTGTCGTGTCGTGTCGTGTCGTGTCGTGTCGTGTCGTGTCGTGTCGTGTCGTGTCGTGTCGTGTCGTGTCGTGTCGTGTCGTGTGTGTCTAGGTGAGCGACTTTGACGCGGGCGTCAGTAGGCTCAGTTTCCAATTCAATAATGAGCTAAGACAACACGGCTACTACAACGGCGCCTACGCGGTGGCCATGCCTCCGCCCTACTTTGGCCTCTCGCGCCACAAAGCCGACTACGATCGCAACCGTACGCTGCCCCGACTTTCGCTGTTGTTTCATGGTTTCGTTAAAAAAGTAACTTGACGAAGTTTTGTTTGGTGATGGGCAGGCTTTGTGTTGGCTGGCGGCGTGGGCTCTGCCGCCTCGTTCTCGCCCGATGGCACGCGCCAAGAGATGATCTGCATTCCGGGCGTCGATGAGCATTTCTGGAAGATGCGGTTCGCATTCTCGCATCATAATATTGGTGGTGATTGGGTGTGTGCGCCGTTTAGTTGTAAAAGATTACAACAAGTTCACACGCGCGCGCAATGTGCGTGCGCCGCAGGTACAACTCGAACGGTACGCTGATGTTTCTGGCGACAGACAACGATACGCTGGAGCTGTTCCGCCGCAATCCCGATGGAACGCACAGCCATCTTCACACCATCGTCCGCCACAAGGACGACATCGAGGACTGCGACATCGCTCTCGACGATTCCTGTACGCGTTTTTCATATTTGTCATGCTTCAAGCTCTCACTTTTGTCTGCACCTGCACTTATTCAATACCGTCTTGTGTGCCCCACAGACGTGGTCACAGCTTCTCAGGACGGCACGGTTGCGTACATCACGCTCAACACTTGATGACGGAAGATAGACATGGTGATGGAGAGAAATGCGCAGAGTCCTCATGCTGTAATCCACTCCAGAAATATTGTTGACGAAGAAATTGACCGGTTTTTTTTTCTTTCAGAAATTAATAGTAAAGTTGTCTCCAACAAGCACATTTTCGTTTTCTGCTTGTGATCTGCACCAAATGTTTAGACTTGTTACATCATTATCGTTCTTTCTTTTAATCAGTCAATGCAGCTGTTGCTCGCTGTCCGTTGGTGCGATAACAGAGAAGCTGAAGAGCGAGTTGCGCTCCGATCGAAAGCCGGACATGGCCGCCTCCACGACAGCGCGCTTCTGCGGGTCCGCCACGCCCTCGATGCTCACCTGGCGCAGTCGCGGCGAGCACGAGTTGAACAGGTCGCTCGGGGCATTCAGTAGGGTACGCGGGGCCAAAACAATGCGCAGATCCTCGAGCGTCCGGCTGCGCGGCAGAGCCTTGATGAGTGCCCACGGGCTCTGGCGCTTGGTCGGCACGCCATCTCGTGACGCATCTGCGGCCATCACGTAGAAAATATATATATATCAGCAAATAAAATACAGAAACATAACAGTACAGCCTTGAGAATGTATGTAAAACATGTACCAAGGCAGACAGCAAGGGTTTGAAGCCGCGGATGGTTCTCTGGTGGTGGTGGTGGTGGTGGTGGATGAGGTTTGGTGAGTTGTGTGGAAGAAAAGGAATTGATGACCACAGACGCACCGATGATCTGCACAAGAACGTCGACAGCCTCAACGCGCAGGTTGCATTCGATGTCAAGAACACGCAGGTGGCGGTTGGTGGCGGCAATGTGGGACAGGGCCGCGTTGAGCAGCTTCCGCGTCAGCTGATCGGCGAGAAACGTGAGGTAGTGGTCCGTGTCGTAGCGTCGGATGACCAGCTCCTCGAGGCGCGGGGCTCCCTCGGGGGAAGCGAGAAGGCGGTTGAGCAGCGCAAACTGCAGGGGCATGGGCTCGGGGTGTCTCAGGGTGAGCTTGTGCCTCTTGCCCAGCATCGCATCGCGAAGCTCACACAGGCTCGGAGTGCTGTGGGCCAAGCGGCCGGTCAGTCAACCGTGACACGCGACACACACGACACACACGACACACGCGACACACATGACACACGCGACACACCCGTTTTTTGTGGGGCGGGTGGGGTACCTGCGAGTTGGAGAGACTGGTTGGCGGTACTCGCGGAGGAATGAGGAGAGCTGAGGGTAGATGATCGTCTGCGGAGGGCTGCGGGGTGCACGCATAGCCGACCAGCGAACCGCGCCGGACCCGCCAAATCGATGAATGGGTCCCTGGTGATCGATCACGCAGAGAACAAAGAACGAAGCACCATTTTAAAAAAAACGAACAAAAAAGAACGAAGGTCAGTGTCGCCGCTCCTGAGGAGAAGAGGGGGGGGGGCGAAACCCTCTATGAAGCCGTTCGCAGTGGCAGACGAGTTCCCCGGCTGACGTGTTGCTGTATTGGACGAAGCAGCCGCCCATCATCGAAGCTTGGAATTCATCATTGGGAAAGCTGAACACAAACGCGCTCGCGTCCATCTGGTAGAACTGTAGACAAGAGTGACGAGAGTAGAATGCACATTGCCTTTCAACGTGTGCGGGTGTCGTGCGTGTGTTGTATGCGTGTGTGTCGTGCCTGTTGGTGCGTGCCGTGTGTGTCGTGTGACGTACCAAGTCATGCTCGAGCCGATATCTCTGCTTCCAGGTCAGATCTCCGCCCTCGGCCAGGTGAACCGGGGGCACCCAGGCCCCAAAATCTCGGACATAGAGCGTGCGCCACAACTCGGCCTCGTTGGCCACCACGCACGCCCTCCTGCACGACTGTTGCAGCAACCAACAACAGGGCCACCAGCCTCGATCAGCGCAGGTGCGTGTCGTGTCGTGTCGTGTGCCGTGAGTCATGCCGTGTGTGTCATGTGCGGTCAACCTTATTTTACCTGGACAAGGCTGCACAGCGCGGCCGCAGGGAGGTTCTGGAAGATGGCCAGCAACAGTTCGTCGGCCAACGACAGCAGCGGGCTGGCGACCTGCGGCATCGGCTCGGAGTCCCTCAGTGCGGCCATCTCGCCTCTGTCCTCCTGTGCCCCACACCACACCACACCACACCACACCACACCACACCACACCACACCACACCACACCACACCACACCAATCTTCATTCAGCCGACACCACCAGCGAACGAACCACAAAACTGAACGTACGACGTAGGGCAGCGGCTCGATGTACTCTGTGGGCCACACGCTCAGGAGGTCGTAGAGCGAGGCCCGCCTGACGTCGGGGAACTCGACGAAGAAGTACGGCCCGTCCTCCTGCTCGGTGGCTGGCGCACCCGCGAGCTCATCATCGACCACCACCTGCTCGTCGTGGTCGTCGTCGTCGTTGGCCTCTTCATCGCCTCCTTCTTCGAGCCAGCACCCGAACCCCTCGTAGGTGGGCTCGGCCCTGGGCTCGATCCGCACCCGTCGGTGGAGCACTTGGCTGCCGGCCGGTGGTGCGGAACCGACCACGACGGACACGGCAAGTTGGGACTTGGTCGAGGTGTACCGCACCAGGAAGGTGCCGCAAGGCCGCCCAGACAGAATTCGCTCCGCCTCCTCTCTGTCCCGAGCGAGGTCAAAACACAATACAATAAAAATATAAATAATACCAATATTCTTTATTTATTTATATTTTTTAAAAAAGTGGATAGTCTCCGCTGTTGCAAACAGTACCCAGGACAGCGTGGAAACAAGCTTCTAGGTTCGCGTTACTCGTGCCGCGTGTTGCTGGCTCCACGTCGTGAAGTATGCAGGATTTATTTTTTTAGTTTAGTTTTTTTAGTTGACGACCACGTGGATGAACCCTGTTGCAGTCAGGCTGACAGGGCATAATTTTATTCGTTCTACTTTGAGAAAGTATCATTCATCCCAGTGTAGCGGAGCACAATGGGGAAGTACATCATGGTGCACTCTGAACCGAGAGGAGACCCAGGGCAGGGAAGCGGCTCCGCTTCCAGGCTCAGAGACATCGAGAGGGTCTCAGACTTCTCCACGATCGCAGTTCCCTCCTCGCCCTTCTCTTCGTCATGCGAGATCACCAGAGAGAAGCCGGGCTTGTTGGGCGGACGGTAGGCAATGTTGACTGCGAGGTGGAGGAGGCAAGTTGTTTAGATCAGGGTGTTGTGGTTTTGGGGAAAAGGACTGCAATTACCACTCCAGTTGCCCGTGTTGTTCACGTTGAAGAGCACGTAGCTGGATACGCCTTCAGCCAAGTGCAGGCTCGGCTTGGTCAAGAAGGTGACCTCTCCCTGCACCTGGAAAATCTGCAAACATAAGAAACGAACGAGGTGAGACAGTGAGATAGTGTGAGAAAGTGAAGCCTAATGGAGGAGAGCTGGGTACGCTCAGAGGCCACTGGAACGCCAGCATGAAGTCGAGACATGCGGTGTCGCTCACCCAACGGCTGCACTCCACGTTGATGGTGCTCAGAAAGGTGTCCGCGAAGAAGTGGCCTGTGCGTGCCGGCTGAGATCCAGCACTCACGCAGGCATTCCCGATGATGGTGATGGCCACCAGCATCAGTGCTGTGAGGTACGGGGTGTGGGTCATGGTGTTGTAGTGTCCGAGTGCACAAGAAAGAGAAGAAACTCAGAGCACTATATAGACCGGAGATTGCCGCCGGTCGGGCGTGTCGGGCGTGGCCAGGAGTGAGGAGAAGAAAAAGCCAGGAATGTGGGGCATTCCGCATAATGGAAGAGGGTCAAGAAAAGAGCTTCTTGCCGATGCTCTCAAATTGATGTGTGGGAAAAGCGCAAGCATCGTGCGTCGCTCGGGGCGAAAAGCTTGGAGAGGTAGGAAGGAAACTCAGAGAACAAGTCGATCGCCAGTCTGGGTTGATCCTCCTCGGCGCGAACCATCCAAAGGTGAGCAAAGTTACAAAAAAATTGCGCCGATGGACCACACTCAGCGCTGGATTGTAAGTGGTCATACCTGAGGCTGGTAGAACAACATTCGCAACGGCCAGCACACACACGTGAGCTTCACCCAAGAAGAGTAGAGCCAAGACACAAACTTGGCTCCTGGCGTGCCTCCTTTCCAGTAGATACCATCCACAGTGACTAGTAGCCACCCAACAATAATGAGGAAGCAGCTTATGGCGTTGATACCGTGTCTTGTTTCCTGGCAGAAGCGGTCCAGTACCCTATATGTGGAAAATAAACATGTGCCGACACCCAATTCTTTAACTTCTTCTCCCTTACGTTGCATGTTGCGCTCAACTGATGGCACATAAGTCAAAACAGGAATAATTACAGTTCGTGCTGGGCGGGGTTGTTGAGAGGCGGTGCGGCCTCGCCGTCGGACCGGCTCATGAAGCGTCGCCGGTTCTCGAGGCTCATCTTCCGCAGCTGCAGCAGACGCTCCACCTCGAAGTCGGTCGTCGTGCTCTCAAAGTCCCGCAGCCGGCTCTGGATGATGGCCTCCTCGCGCCGCTGCTCCTGCCGCTGCGCCTCGGCCAACATCTCCGGCCGATCTCGCGCATACACCAACATTTGCAACATCTAGCCACCGCCCACGCTCTATGTTAGGGTGCGTGTCGTGTGTGTCGTGTGCGGTGTGTGCGGTGAGTACCATGACGACGACCTCGGGGATCTCGCCCTCCATGATCCATTCGCCCTGGCCCGAGGTGGAGGCGAGGAAGTGGCGCGTCCACTTCCAGTTGTCGTCCGCCCGCTCCGTGCGGTACTCGCGCGCCACCGGGTGCCACTGGTAGGTCAGCACCGCCGGCACGCTCGACGACGTGCCCGGCGCGTGCCACTCCATCCACACCCCGTTCCACCGGCCCCACCCATAGCTCTCCTCCTCCTCGCCCTGTGCGTGCGTGTGTGTGTGTGTGTGTGTGTTGTTAGCGTGAGTGCGGTGGCGTGCGTGTGCGGTGGCGTGCGTGTGCGGTACCGAAGGACGGGGGTGAATGACTCGCCGTCCCAGGAGTAGGTGAGGGGTGGATCGACGCCGCGGTCAGACTTGACCAGGCCCTTGGGCCAATAGTGCCACTCCTCCTCGCGCGACATCTTCAATATGCCCCCCTTGTACCCCTCCAGGTGCACGTACCGCAGCAGCTCCCTCTGCGCAACACACACACGACACACACAACACACACACACCGCGCTTGAGCGACCGACCAGGCAGGCACGGTGAGAGGGGCGGCGGGCGGGGTACCTGCTCTTGTTCGTCGAGCGGCGAGTCGGCCGGGACGGACAAGTTGCGCTGGGCGAGGCCGCCCAGGGCCAGCATCCACAAGGCCGTCTCCACGCAGTCCTCGCCCATCAACGCCATCACGCGCTCCTGTCCAGGACGATGAACCCAACACGACTCAGCCCACGCGCGTGTGCGTGTGCGGCGATGTGTGTGCGGTGTTGCGTGTAGTGTGTTACCTGTGCGCAGGAGGTGAGGATGTAGAAGTTGGGCGGGAACGACCCGAGGTTCTTTTCGCTGCCCGTCGTCGGCGACTGCTGCGATTTTGTGTTCCTGCTCCCACAACGCCTTGTTCAGCGTGTGTCGTGTGGCTATGTGCCGTGCGTGTCGTGCCACGTAGCGTCGAGTGGTGCGTGTGTTCCCTGTGTGACTCGTGCGGTGGGAATGAAGGGGGGGATTTACCGTGCGGGGCTGCTGACGGGGGAGCCGAAGGCGTCGGAGAAGGCGCTGCCCTTCTTGCGGGTGCGGGAGGGCGTCCGGACCATTCGCATGAGCGCGTTCGACGTGCGGCGCACCGTCTGCTCGGTGCCGGCTACCACCGATCGCGTCACCCGCTTGATGTCCTCCCGATGTATCCGCGTGCGCGTCTCCACCCGCATCATGTTCTACACGCACGACACACGCACGACACACGCACGACACGACACACATATCATGAGCCACACATGACATGGCACGACACGACACGATGCACGCAGGGTGAAGGTACGTACCTCGTCGCGGAAGTAGGCGAACGTGTTGGCGGTGAGAACGAACCATCGCCGATCGGCACCGATCCTATTCAGCCACCCCTCCATGTACACCTGTGTGCACCGCCCCGCTTAGCACGGCACACACGACGGCGCACCACACATAGACCACACACACACACACACACACACACACACACACACACACACACACACACACACACACACACACACACAACCAAGGGATGTACCTCTTCGTGGCGGATGAGGGCGACATCGCCCGAAGATGAAAGCGATAGCGGAGACGGTGGAGCTTGGGGCGAGTCGTCGCGTGTGAGGCCGCGCGAGTCGGCGCCGAACGAGGCGCCGCGTAATCGCCCGGTTCGCCCCTTGTCGACAGCGAACTCACCGCTCAACCGGTCCTGCGATCGCGTCCTATCACGATCCACCAACGCGCTTCAGTTTTACTCCATCGCGTGTGGCGCGTGTGTGTGTGTGTGTGTGTGTGTGGAGGGACATGCACCGTGGCTTGGCGGCGGTGATGAGGCTGCGCTTCTGGGTGAGGGCGTCGCCGTAGTGTTGCCGGTGTTTCCGTCGCTCCTCGTCATCCGGGCTCCCCTCATCACCCTGAACGCGCGTGTCGCGCGTGCGGTGTGTGCGGTGGTGCGTGTTGTGCGTGGTGTGAGTCAAAGAGAAAAACGCAACACACGCCAGCCGGGAGGAGAACGCACCGCGGCGGCTGTGGCGGCAGCGCTGAGAGTTCGAGGCGGGGGGCAGCGGCGGCGTGGTGGCGACGACGAGGAGGGTGTGGAGGGGCACGAGGAGGAGGCGAGGAGGGAGAAGGTGGTGAGGGTGACGGTTGTGGTGGGGCTGCTGGAGGTGGGCGAAGAGGAGGGCGACCACCGCCCAACGCTGGGGCTGCTGGGCACGGCGCAGGTCTCGAACGACGTCGTCGTCTCGGAGAAGGAGATGGACGCGGGAGACGACGATAATGGGGAGGATTCGTCGTCTCCTCCGAACTGAAGGCCGTTCCCATTCGCCCCCTCCATGTCCAGTGTTGATTTTGATGTAGAACGTGTAGAAGATTTGTTGATGTTCTCGCTACGCGCGAGTAGAGAGTCAGAGAGTGGGCAGCAGTCCTGAGGGATAGAGTAGTGCGGGGGGGGGGGCTGATGACAGCTCTGCTTGTTTGAAGCAAGTTGTTTCTCCTTCAGTGTGAAGGGGGGAGGGGGGCGTGCTAGTTTGGTCGTTTGTTTGTTGGTTGTTGGGGAGTAGCGGGAAGGGGCGTGGCGATGAAGCTACGGATCACCAAATTTGGTGATTGCGCAGGGCTCGAATCGCAAGGTAACTGCGCTCAATTGAGCTCGAACTTGCGAGTTTTGACCGCTCCGAGCCAACCCCTTCTGGGCATCAGTGATGGAAAAAGAAGAAAGAAAAACGCTCTGCGTGCGGCCACGCGTGGATCGAGAGAAACACCACATCACATGGCACACGACACGACCAACGACACGACCAACGACACGACCAACGACACGACACGACACAAGCGAGGAAGAGAGGTGCCTGTTTGGAGTTCAGGAGGTGGTTTGGTTCGACAGAGGCGCGGGGGAGGGGAAGATGGAGATCAGTAGATGTGGAGGGGGGCGTCGTGGGCGGGCTTGTGGGCGTCGTAGAGGGCGACGAGCTGGGCCTCGTAGTGGGCGTGGAGCTGGGCAACCTCCTCGTCGGTGGGCGCCGCCTTCTGGGTCACCTCGATGGGCGCCCCGACCACCACATGCACCGGATGGCTCACCTGCGCACACGCACGAGACACACCGCACATGCGCACCGCACACGACACACGACACACGCCCACCACACACACCGCACACACAGCACGGTTGAGGAAAGGGGAGAGAGTGGAGGGAGGGAGTGGCGTACGGGCGCGGGGCTGCCCAGCATGCCGGTGAAGATGGTGAAGGGGAAGCCGAGCAGCCGCGACCATCGCAGCCGATGCTCGCGCCAGAAGGAGACCTGGTAGAAGAGGGACGTCTCGCCGAAGCCGTACATGGGCACCAACGGCGTCCCGTTCTGGATGGCCAGCCGCACGAACCCCCGCCTTTTTGTTTCCCCAACAATTAAATATTTAGTATAATAATACTAATAATAATAATACATTACTTAATATTTTCCTCCTTGTGTTTATATTATTATTAGTTTTATTATTAGTTTTGAGGTACCTGGCCTTGAGGAGGATGGCGGGTTCGGTGGGCGAGGAGAGGATGGCCTCGGCGAGTCCGCCCGGGATGACGACAATGCTGTGCCCCGCCTTGATGCTTTCACTGCGCGAACACAGGTGTGGAATGCAATGAATCAGCAGCGTGTTGCGCACACGTGTGTGTGGCGCGTGCGGCGAGTGTGTGTTGTGAGCAAAACGGCAACAATGGAAATGATACGAACCCGGCTGACTCGGCCGTGGCCGAGATGCCGCCGATCCAGTGAATAAAGTGTCCGGCGCCGGGCAGCATCAGCAGCGGAGTGGCCACCAGAACTGTACGCGCCCACCACGGCCGTCAAAGAACGAAAAAAGAGATGAAGCAAAGAGAAAGAGGAAAAAAACGACAAAGAGGGAGAGGGGGGGGGGGTACTTCGCCAGGAGATGGAGGGGAAGAGGGTCCGGAACTGCTCTGACACGAGGGCCGTCCACAGGCCCCACGTCCTGCCCTCCCCCAAATATTCGCCCTTTAGTCGTGTGTCATGTGTGTGTTGTGCGTGTGTCGTGTGTTGTCTGACGAGAGGGCACGCACCAGAGACCGTGCGGGTGGTAGGCGAAGATGTACCGCCGCGATGGATCCAATTCCTGCGCGTGGATGCAGAGGTCTCGATTAATAATGCATGGGGGCTCTTGCACACGACACGACCGCACGACACGCACGCACGCACGCACGCACGCACAACGACAGGGAAGGGGTAGGTGCCTGGGTCCGGGTGACGGTGATGGGGAAGTAGTCACGTTCCATCCAATTCCAAACGGGCAGCCGCTGGAAGGCTGACCAGGTCCGGGTGTGGCGCCCCTGCAATGGTGGTTGGTGGTTAATGGCGTGAGCCACGAAGCCGTCGTGAATGGACGAAGGGGCCGCAGCACGCGCGCGCGTACCAGGGAGGGGTCGAAGAAGGGAGAGAGCGCGGTCGCCAGCCACAGGAAGTAGACCACCGACGACGGGCTGGACAAATACGTTTATTTATAATTTTATTGAAATAAATAATTAAATAAAAAAAGACGAACAACGAAAGTAAAGCGGTGATGGTGGTTACCTCCACAAGGGAAAGAGGGCACCCGTGGCCCCGTGGTAGGCCGTGAGGACGCCCAGCACCGCCCACACCAACTGCACGGACCCAACACGTTTAACTCCTATTTCAATAATAAAATAATAATACAGTGCAATAATAATTTATAATAATAATAATAATAAAACAAATAAATATCGGGTGTGTATTAGGACCTTCTTGGCGGGGTCGTGGGGGTCGCGCCGGACGGCGGAGGCGATGAAGGAGAGGAGCACGAGCAGCATGAGGCCCGTGTCGAGGAGTTTGTCGTGGGTGACGGGGAAGAGGAAGAGGAAGATGGCCGTGCACCAGACGCCCCACACGGCCGGCAGCACTGAGATCACCTCCAGCAGCGCCAGACTCGCCCACCACCGCCAGCCCCCTCTACCCGGCCCGGGAGGGTGTTGCGTCACAGCTCCCTCCCCCTCCTGCTTCTTCATCTTTTCCTCTTCAGTCTCCATCTTCTTCTTCTTCTTGTTCCTTTCTTCTTCGGTGTCTCGCGAGCAAGTAGGAGCAGTGTGGAGCGACGTGGCCGCGAGTGAGGAACACTGACAAGCAATAAAAGTTTGGTTTGGCAAAAGAGAGAAAGCGTCGACATGAAGGCGACGCGCGAGTGGCTGGCCCTTTGTCCAAAGATAAGGTTGGGGGTTGGTGCGTTCCCACCCGCAGTGTGCCCGCTTCAACTCACAGGAGAGAAAGTGGGGTTGTCTTCCAACAATCGAGGAGTGATCGATAGAGTTCACTCTGCTGATTTGGCGAAGGACTGGAGGTGGGCATGGTGAGGTTAGTGCAGTTCTCAAAAGCTGCTTGAGAAAGAATGCAACTTGCTGTGTTAACACAAGCCAGTGCACAGCAGTGAAGAGGCTTCTGGGTTATTTCCCAAGACGACAAGGGGAAAAGTTATTTTTCTGTTTTTCTTGTCTTCTTTGCTTGCGCAAGGCGAATCCTTCCAGACTCCATCACAATGCCGACTGTGTCGCTTAACAGGGACGAGCTCTTCGAGCAGCTGGGCCAGACTTACAGCACGTCCTCCGGCCCATCATGGACTTTTTACTTTAATTTTTGGCACCCCCTTATTATGGCTTCATTTTCCTCCATTTACAGCGGAGGAGGAGTTCGATGACCTTTGCTTCCGTTTCGGCGTTGAGCTCGATGAAGTGGTAAGTGAGATACTTGCCCCCCCCCCAATGCGGCAGTCAGATCCTCAATCTCAGTCACGTTGCTTTAGACGTCGGAGAAGGAGCTCATCGAAAAGGAGCTCGGCAAGACCGTAGACGCCTCTGAGGACGTCATCTACAAGATTGACGTTCCTGCCAACCGGTATGCTTTCAATCTGCGCAGTGGCGACTGCGATTTATTTTACAACAATTTAATTTGCCTGTAGCGGCTCATAGCGGCAAATATTATCAAATGTTATTAATCATGAATGTAATGGCTCTCCTTCTCTCTTGCCCTTCACTTTTTTTGTTGAACGTACAGCTACGACCTGCTGTGCATGGAGGGCATCTCGCGTGCTCTGCGCATCTTCAACGGAAAGGAGGAGGCTCCCGACTTCATCGTCACACCCGCCAAGGAGCAGATCACCGTCGAGCCTACCGTGCGTTCTCCCGTGCATCGGTGTGCGGTGTGCGGTGTGCGGTGTGCGGTGTGCGGTGTGCGGTGTGCGGTGTGCGGTGTGCGGTGTGCGGTGTGCGGTGTGCGGTGTGCGGTGTGCGGTGTGCGGTGTGCTGATGTGGGCGAGGTGTCTGCAGGTGGCCCAGGTGCGACCGTTCGTGGTGGGCGCTGTCCTGCGCGGCATGACCTTCACCGACACCTCGTACAAGAGCTTCATCGACCTCCAGGAGAAGCTTCACCAGAACATCTGCAGGTTAACACCTACACCACACGCGGCACACGACCAACGACCACGACAATAGGCCAATATAGTGGGCTGATATATATTTTCGTACGTATTTTGCTGCAATGCAGGAAGCGTTCGCTGGTGTCGATCGGCACGCACGATCTCGACACGGTGAAGGGTCCGTTCAAGTACGAGGCCCGCAAGCCGCAGGACATCTCCTTCGTGCCTCTCAACATGACCGAGTCCTTCGACGGCGAGCAGCTCATGCAGAAGCTCGCCGTACGCCCCCCCCAATCCCGTCTGTGCACCGCGCGTGTCGTGTGTCGTGTGTCATGTGTGCTGATCGATCGTCGCGGTGTGTGTCGTGGTCGGTGGTGGGTCAAATGGCAGGTGGACAGCCACCTGAGGTTCTACGTGCCGATCATCAAGGACTCGCCGGTGTACCCCGTGGTGGTGGACGCCGACGGCGTGGTCCTCTCGCTGCCGCCCATCATCAACGGCGACCACTCCAAGATCAAGCTCACCACCACCAACGTGCTCATCGAGGTCACCGCCACCGATCTCACCAAGGCCAAGATCGTCCTCAACACCGTCGTCGCCATGTTCTCCCAGTACTGCAGCTCCAAGTTCACGTACGTGTCCTCCCTCGCAGCACAACCGCACACGCACACGCACACATGAGCTGACGTGTTGTGTGCGCGCGCACCAGGGTGGAGGCCGTGAAGGTGGTGGACGCCGCCGGGCAGGCCGTGGACTACCCGGACATGTCGCAGAGAGAGGAGACCGCCGCCGTGGAGTACATCAACAAGTCCATCGGCATCAACCTGCCCCCCGCTCAGGTACCACGACCGCACACGCACACGAGACACACGCACCAACTGATTGAATGATGGGTGTTTGTGTGCGTGTGCGGTGGCAGATGGCTGATCTTCTGAAGCGCATGGGCCTGAGCGCGCGTCTGATCAACGGCGACAAGGACGTGGTGGTGAAGGTGCCGCCCACGCGAAGCGACATCCTGCACGCGTGTGACATCATGGAGGACGTGGCCATCGCCTACGGCTACAACAACCTCACCCTCACCGTGCCCCGCACGCCCACCGTCGCGCGCCAGCAGCCCCTCAACAAGTTCACCGACCTCCTCCGCAGCGAGGTCGCCTTCGCCGGCTACTCCGAGGCCTTCACCTTCTCTCTCGTACTCCCCCTCCCTCCCCTCGACCGTGTCGTGTATTGTTGTCATTTGTGATTCTCTCTCGCTTACCGCACGACACACGCACGCGCACGCACGCCACACGCAGTGCTCGGCCAAGGAGAACTTTGTGATGCTGAACCGCAAGGACGACGGCAGCGCGGTGTGCATCTCCAACCCGGCCACGCAGGAGTTCGAGGTGGGCCGCACGAGCCTGCTCATCGGCCTGCTCAAGTCAGTCAGCGCCAACAAGAACCAGCCCCTGCCGATCAAGATCTTTGAGATCTCCGACGTGCTGGTGAGGGACGACACCGTCGACGTCGGCGCGCGCAACAAGCGCAACCTGGCCGCCGCGTTCTACAACACGTCGTCGAGCTTCGAGGTGATCCACGGTCTGCTCGATCGCGTGATGCTCGTGCTGGGCGTGCCGTTCGACAAGACGGAGGGCTACCACATCGTTCCGTCGGAGGACTCGGCCTTCTTCCCCGGCCGCCGGGCCGACATCGTGTGGCGCGGACAGAAGGTGGGCGTGTTCGGCGTCGTCCACCCGCTCGTGCTCAAGCAGTTCGACCTGGCCTACCCGTGCTCCGCGCTCGAGCTCTTCATCGAGCCCTTCCTCCAGGCCAAGCTCCACGCCACGGCCCCCGCCACCGAGGCCCAGGAGGGCGCCAGCGAGGTTGTTCACGGCTAAGCTGTTTCTCCTGCCGAGAATCGTAAATGAGATAGCCACCGAGAAAGAAACATGTTAAAAATTCATGAATTTCAACCTGGTCCAGCCAGTCGGCGAATTTCGGGAGAAGGAAACACTCATTGTCACGAAAAAATGAAAAAAAAAAATATAATGTGTGTTGGTACCGACCTGCAACGATGAGATATCTCAACAGCGGCCACTTGTTGTTGTTCCCGCTGTGTGTCGTCCTGCTTTGCTTGGCTGGCGGCTTTGCCGGCGGTACATTGCCTCTGCACTGGCTTTGTCTCCGTCACACTTCGCTTTCGCTTCTTATCTGCATGGGGAGGGGGGACTGCTCACGGCGATGCGTGCGTCGTGTTGCCGCAGCGGCGGGGACGGGGATCGAGGTCGTTGCCACGCTCGATCTCGACGACCAGGGGAGCAGGTGGCTCTCGACCTCGGTCTACGGCGGGGTGTACTCGTTCCTCAGCGAAAAGGTGTTCTGGTGGGGCTCCCTCAACGGCGCCGGCATCAGCCTCTACCCCGCCCGGGTGCGTCATGCCTTTATCTCCGTAAAATATATAGCTCATACATATTATATCATCTTTTCTAAACAGATAATCTATATAATTATTTTGGTCAGTACAGATCCCAACTGAGTTTCAGCCACACCTGGCCCTGAGTAATGATCTGGGATACGATACCCAAACGGGTCACTTCTTTGTCGATCTCTACGCGTACTCCAACGTCACCAGCACAGTTGTACGTCGGTTCCTTATTCTGCGCGTAAAATATCACTGTTTTGAAGTGTTGATTCATCCCATCTTGATTCCATCGCCAGAGCTTCGTGGAATTCGATCTGAACGCGCAGGAGTGGATAGTCAACAGCCAGGTAGTGGTGCCCGTCAGGGACTACCAGTACCTCATCGCCGACAGCCCCGATCTGCAGACTCGCAGCAGCCTGTTCCTCATCTCGCTCGACTACATCGTCTACATCGAGTACCTACGCCACGGCACACGACACACACGGCACACGACACACGACACAAATCCTGGTCTGCGGTAATGTATGGCACTATAGCTCATGAGATCGCTGTGCCGCAGTCTGGATACGTTCACGATCGTCGCCCAGATGGACCTGAGCCAGCAGTTCGTAACCCAGTACCCCGTCAACCTCGTCGCCGGCGCCACCTACTACCAGGGCAACCTGTTCATCGCCAGGCACGTACATCATCAACATCAACACCAACACCATTCCACGCGCCACCGCTGTGACACTCATTGAGTGCACCAACAACAGAACGGCGTCGCTGGGCGGTCAGACTCTGGCGCAGATTGTAGATGTTCGCGTGTTCAGCGCCAATTTCCACGCACTGTACGGGACTGTCATCCAACAACACCCGCTGATTGGTCTGATTATTACGTATGCCTGCTCACATCCGATATATATGTTCTGTGTATCGCAGGCAGTTCGACCATGTGGTGTATCTGGACGCTGATTGCGACAACATGTTTGGCTGGGGCAACTACCTCTTCTGGCCGCAGGTTTGGGCCACACTCCTCGCTCCACCGATTTGGTGGCCCAATCGTGCAGACTCTCCCCGGCTCACAGTTTCATTTTCTTCTACGCAGTTGCACGGCAACAACGGAACGCTCTACGGGTGGGGCCTGGAACGGAGGAATCTGCTCTTCACCTCCATTGGCCTCGGGCCTGGCGCCATTTGGGGCAAAGGCGTCGGCGCCAACCAAAGGACCAGTACGGGCTCTTACAAGAGATCATCGTTACACTCTTCCGCGTGACAGCTCACAGTTTGTGGTCATCTACAACAACAGAGCAGGCACTGTTGGTGAGCGGCAAACCGGCGGGTGGCGGATACACGGCCTGGGTGGCCATCCACGACGACCAGAGGGTACGATTTGTAGACTCACGCCCGATGCCCGGTGGCCAGCTACCTTCCATGGGTGCGACGCTACGATTGTTTCGTTGCTTGCCGCCCACCAAGATGTGTGCTCATCTCCTTCTTCTGGCCTGCAGGCATCCAAACGGTGTCAAGCGATGTGGAAGATCCCTGCTTGTCGGTGCTGCTGGCTGGCCACAACGCCACCGGGTTCGGCCAGGTCACCTGGCTCCGCTACGCCCCGACTTTCCAGTCTCCTGGAAATCCCAATTGCGGTGGGTCTTCTTCTTCGTCTCCTGTTGTTGTTGCCGCGTAACCCAAATAAAAACCTCTCCCCTCGTTTATTCCAATATAAATGCTTGTGGGGGGGGGGATGACGTTTTAGTCGCGGTACTTCTGCATGAAGTCGTGGTGGAACTTGGCAATGGACTTGGCCACGGCGTCGATCTGCCGCCCAGCGAAGAAGAAGAAGAAAGAAGAAGGTGGTGAGTGTAGTGTCGCCCCATCACAAGAATAGAGAGTTGAGGTTTGGGCGGTTGGCGTCACCTTGTCCTCGGGCGGGAGGAAGGTAGTGCGGAAGTGGTACGTGCCGTCCTTCTGCCCAAAGCCGGAGCCCGGCACCACGCAGATGCCTGCGAAGCGACGAGACACATGAGTACGCGATCAGTGTGCGTGCCGTTGGTCGGGTCGCGTACGAGTGCGATGTAAAGAGAGGGGGGGAGGGGAATAGCGCTGCATACCGGTCTGGTCGAGGAGGGCGAGGCAGTAGAAGGAGTCGGGGGTCTTCTTCTGCTTGACGGCCTCGTGCACGGCCTTGGCGGGCAGGCGCACGCGCGGGAAGAGGTACATCGCCCCCTCGGCTTCGTTGCACGTCACGCCCTCCTGCACACGCAGCAGGGTCCAGTCAGCGTGTGCGTGTGCGGTGTCGCGACAAGGGGGCGAGTGTGAGTGCGTACGAGCTTGTTGAAGGCCTCGGTGAGACGGAGGGCGCGCCTCTTGAGAGACTCAAAGATGCCGGTCGTCTCCTGGTGGTAGAGGTCGTACGAGGGCTCGCCCGCCACCGGGGGCCGCACCATCAGGTCCACCACCACCTGACCCGGCTGCTCCCACACACAACAACAACAACGCACGTCGTGATCAGCCAACCAACAGCTGAATGTTGGTTCATATAATATAAATGTATGGAATGTCATTGGGGAATTTGGGGGGGGGCGAACCAGGTTGGGGCAGAGGGAGATGGAAGCGAGCTTGTAGAACTGCTGCTTGACCTCCTCGTCGATGCCCACCAGCTCCATGAAGCCTCCGCGGTGGCCGCACCTGACGCACACAACACGACACACACACGCGACACACGCGACACACGACAGAGGTTGCGTAGCAACGAGCACATGTAAGACGTGTGTAAGACATGTGTTCGGGTCGAGAGTAGAGGTGGAGAGGGGAGGGAAGAGCGTACTCTCCAATGACGCCCTTGGAGACCGAGTGGAAGGAGATGAGCTCCACGTCCTTGTACTTGGGACCCATGTCGCGCAGCACCTTCTTGAACGACAGCCACGGCTTCGTGTACGCGTTCGTCTACTCGCCCCCATTACACCCCATCCACGCCAGCATGCAACAAAACGCAAACGCAAACGCAAACGCAAAACAGATAATTAAAATTGTAAAAAAGCATTAAAAAGAGTGTGGAGGGTGCGTGCCTGGTAGACCTCGTCGGCGAGGAGGACGATACCGCGCCTGCGGCAGAAGTCGATGACCTCCTGCATGTTGGATTCGGCGAGGCACTGGCCGGTGGGGTTGCCCGGGTTGATGATCACCAGGGCGCGCGGGTTGACGTTCTTCTTGTGCGCGTCCTCCACCAGGCTCTCCAGCTCCGAAACCTGCACGTCGCCACAGCGCAGCGCGGGCTGGTGAGCAACGTGGCACGACACGCACAATGCATACGTCACAGCATACATAGCACACACGACACGACACACACACGACACACACCTGGAGGCCCCAGGAGTTCTCCTCGTCGAGGTAGTAGTTGAGCTGGGTGCCGCCCAGCAGCGGAATGGTGGCCGAGTAGAGCGGGTACTGCGGGATGGGGATCATGACCTGAATGACAACACACACACACACACACACACACACACACACACACACACACACACACACACACACACACACACACACAACACAACCCAACAAGCCATCGCGTCAGCACCTTTCAAACAACCCAGGGGATAACATCTTCTATAACAATAGAATGCGTACTCCATCACGTCGGCTGTGGATGAGGATGTTGAGGGCCTTGCTCACGGAACCCGACGCGCCGTCCGACAGGTAGATGTCCTATTAGGACGCGACAACATGATTGGATCATACAATGCACGGCAACGGTGTTAAACTTGTTGCACTGCTACAACAAGAATAACAACAATTCGATAGTAGCACGCACACCAATGGCGCACCTCGGGCTCGGCGGCATAGCCGTCGCGCTTCTGGAGGAAGCCGGCGACGTGCTCGCGCACGATGCGCTCGCCCTTGCTGTGGGAGTAGGCCCCGGTACCGCCGGAGAAGTTGGCGAGCAGGTGCCGGGCGCGCTGCAGCACGTCCTGCGGGTAGATCTGCGCCGCCGCCGGGTGGTCGAGCAGCGCCGGGTACTCCATGCACGACAGCACCTGCCGGAAGAACGTGATCGGCTTCTGCTGCAGCTGCTGCGGGTTGCCTGTCGACACATACATAATGTAGTCGGAAACAATCATAGTCGTCGTCGTCGTCATCACAGTCGTTAGCATTGCCATCGTCGTGAGAGATACCGAGGAGAGCTGGACGAAGAAGAAGAAGTACCGATGTTGCAGTAGATGATCTCCTTGAAGGGGAGGGTGTCACGCTGGGCGGGGTCGGCCAGGACGCGCTGGTACTGGTCGGCCTTCATCACCAGCTCGCCGCGCACGGCGTACGCCGCCCCGACCACCGCCTGCGTAGCGACAGAGAGACCACAGACGTCAGCTTTCTTTTACTCAAAACGTCGGACGTACCACACAAATCAACACCACGCTCGAAAAAAAGAATTGTTTGTTTTTTCTTACCTGGTTCATGGACGCCGTGGTCAGCCTGCCGCGAATCGGTCCTGTGCGAGGGACCATAAATTTTTAATTAGGCCGATTTTGCCGGAAGAAGAGATTTGTTTGAGAGTGACGAAGTGGACTCGTTGTGTAGCGCAGTGATGAGAGATCCCACCCATGGAGGTAAAGGAAAGAAGATGGAAAGAGAGAGGAGTGGAGTACCGGAGGGGGCGGCTGAGGCCGAAGGGGCGGTGGAGAGGGGGCGTCGCGACGTGCCGAGAAGGAGCGAAGCTGACGGCGAAGCCGCGCGGCCCGGCAGGGACATGCGCAAGGCCGCGGTGCGCGGAAGCTGTGGGGTGGTGGCCGCTCTTCTCATCTTTTAACTATGTTTCGTCAGTTGAGGGCGGGAAAATGATACAGACGGATCTGCCTAACATTCTTTAGATGAATTCTTCGCGTTACTCACATTCTTCGGTGGCCAAGAAATGTGAAAGGAAGAAAAAGAAAATGATGAGAACGTGGACCAATCAGTAGAGCCCGCGTGGCAAGCAAGCGAGCAGCGCTCCCAAGTCGAGGGGATAACGCACGACGTAAGTGAAGATCCTGCGCATTCCAGGGGGTATAGGCGGTCTCGTGCGTGACTTCTTAAAATGGAACGAAGAACGACACTGAAGGTACTGGCTACCTTTGGCGTGCTGGTGGTTCCGCTGGTGCTCCTGCTGGCCTTCGCTCCTCCCGCCCAGGCCGGACGCGATTACTACGACATCCTCGTACGAGGACCCTCTTTTCCTTCCCTCTCGCGTGCCATTTAGTTTACTTTGATTTTATTGATTTTAGTTTGATTGCGATTAATAAATGATAATTGATTACAATTATAAAAATAACAATAACGTAATGGATGGCGTAATGAAGGGCGTGCCGAAGGACGCGTCGCAGGCGCACATCAAGAAGGCCTTCAAGAAGCTCAGTGTGAAGCTTCACCCGGACAAGAACCCCGATGGCCGCGACCAGTTCGTGGAGCTCAGCAATGGTTCCCTCCCCTCCACACAAGACATAACAATGCCGCTTCCATGCTGACCCCATGCGTTTTGCATGTGTGTGTGTGTGTGTGTGTGCTGCGTGTGCCGCGTGTGCTGCGTGTGCTGCGTGTGTCGTGTGCACGACCAGCGTACCAGGTGCTGTCCGATCCGGAGGCCCGTGCCAAGTACGATCGCTTCGGCGAGGAGGGCCTCAAGAAGGGCCAAGGCGGAGGACCCGGCTTCAGGTTCAATGATCCCTTCAACGTGTTCGAACACTTTTTCCAAGGCGGCGGCGGCCAGGGCGGCGGAGCCCGATTCACCTTTTCCACCGGCGGCGGCATGCCCGGCGGGTTCGGTCAGCAGCAACACCACCATCATCAGCAGCAGCAGCGACAGCACCAACAGCAACAGCAGCAGCAACAGGTAAAATTCATCTTTGTATTTTGTCAAGTCTGTGGTTGATTGGTTGATTGTTTGTTTGTTCGTGTGCATGTGCATGTTGGGATTATCAATCAACAATAGGAGAAGTTGTACGACGACAAGGGCGAGATCACCCTCCTCACCGACAGCAACTTCGAGGCGACGGTGCTCGACGACGAGAACTCCATCTGGGTCGTCCAGTTCTACTCTCCCTCATGTACACTCCATTCTGCGCACGCACGCACGCACGCACTTCAACCGGAGAGAGAGAGAGAGACTCAGCCTGATGTTTACAATTGTTCCACCAGGCGGGCATTGCCACAAGCTGGCCCCGGCCTACAAGGACGTGTCGAAGCGTCTGCGTGGCATGGTCAAGGTGGGCGTCGTTGACGGCTCCGTCGAGCGTGGTCTTGGCGGCAGATATGGCATTCAGGTATACACTGCCTATACTATCTTCTCCGCATTGCATGCATGGCCTGCTTGTTGCGGCTTGTGTGTCATGTGCGCCGTAGTGTCATTGGTCGTGTCGTTGGTCGTGTCGTTGGTCGTGTCGTGTCGTGTCGTGTCGTGTCGTGTCGTGTCGTGTCGTGGTGTGTCGTGTATTGACATCGTATTTGGTGGTGGGTTGCGCCGCGCGCAGGGCTTCCCCACGCTCCTTCTGTTCGCACCGGGCAACAAGCGCGCCCAGACGCCGGAGGTGTACAAGGGCGCGCGCAACTCTGATGCCATCGCCCAGTGGGCGCTCAAGGTACCGAGCTCCTCTCTCTCCTCCCACCCGATAAGATTCATATAGAAATGGGAACATATTGTTGCGCGCCAGCGCGCTAATGTTTGTCGTGTTTTGTGACTCACCTCGCTGGGGGGGGGCTCAGGTGATGCCCTCGTTCGTGACGACGCTGGACAGCTACAAGACCTACGCCGACCTGTGCCTCGGCCCGGACTCGTCCACCTGCGTTCTCCTGTTCACCGACAAGTACGTCAATGTCCCACTTGACTTTTTTTTAAGAAAGTATCTCGTGTGTCGTGTGTTGTGTGGTGTTGACGAGGGACACGCATTGCGTGGAAACGTTCGCAGGAAGTCGACGCCTCCTCTCTACTCGGCTCTTTCGCGCGATTATAAGGACCACCTGACCTTCGCCATCGTGCGCACCGCCGCGGCCGATGCCCAGCCCATCATCGCCGAGTTCGCCCCCGTTATTGGTGAAAAGGTGGCCATCCCCCCCCCGGAATTCCCCACATTCCAATTACTGACCCCTCCCCATCGCTGGCATTCCAGTACCCCGCCGTGGTGGTGAAGGAGCCCGCGAGGATGACCCCCTTCAGCGGCGATTCGCTTTCGTACCTCGAACTGCGAAGGTACGGTTCCCGCCACAACGATTGAGAGGGCGCATGCTGACGTCACACGGCGAATTTTCAGGTGGCTGGCCAAGTTTGCCCGGTCGCGCCCGAGCGCGGCGTCGGGCCAGGCCTCGAGGCCGGCCGCGGACGCTGAGGTGCACGAGCTCACCGCCGCTTCGCTTAACCACATCTGCCCCGCCGAGTCCAGCACCCTCTGCGCCGTCGCGTTCGTTCCGCACGACAAGCTCGGTACGTTGTTGAGTCTCACCTCCGTAAACAAACACATTGCGCCTCACAACGTATCACTTTGATATCGCACCCTGGCTTACCCTGCGTGGCGTCCCATGACTATATTACAGCCGACGCCGAGACGCTGGCTATGCTCAAGTCCCTCAACCTCAAGTATAGCAACGATCGATTCGTGTTCACGGTTGCCGACGAACAGAAGCAGCACGAGTTCAAGGTTCGTCGATGATAGCGTTGGTGGTACCGCTCCCGCACGCGAATTAACTTTTTGTTTTCATCGAACACAGAAAGCGTTGCTGGAGGGTGCAGCGGAGGCTTCGCCGCAGTTGGTGGTGTGGAACGCCAAGAAGGGCCGCACGGTGGCTCACGAAGTACGTTGGCTCACAATCTTCACCTGCGGTCATGTGGCTAATCTGGCGCTTGTTTGTGCAGGGTGAGTTCGGAGTGGATGCGCTTTCACAGTTTGTGGACGCGCTGGTGGGTGGCGGCAAGCGATGGACGCGTCTGGCCTCCTCGCCTGCCTCGCTTCTCGCCTGAGCTTTCCCCTTTTAGCTTAGGCCATCCCTTTCCTTTCTGTCCTCCCAGGGGCAATCCTGGATTGACAAATATTTATTTATTACCAATTTTTATGAGCTGCAGCCTTCCAGGGTTGGTTTGGGCAAGGTCAAAGGTGAGGAGGAGGAGAGATGATGTAGGCACACCAATGTACCGCGCACACGCTGAAACGGTCTGGGACCAAGCAAGCCCTGAGAGGGACCATTGAGATAGGGGAGAGGATGGCGCACTTGGGAAAAATCAGTCAGTGGACACTGGGGTACCAGGGACTTTGTGGCGTGGTCTTCTCCTTGTCTGGATGGGATCCTATGAAGCACTGGTCCTCGGGGGAGGGGATGCCTGTGTGCCGCTGTTTGCACATTCGAACCAGCTCAAAGCCAAGCTCCCTTCCTGATTAGCTCTGGGCTGCGGTGCGCTGCCAAAGAAGCTCCACTCTTCTGTTGACAGCATCTTCTTCCAACCCCGTCTCCCAGTCTAGCCTGCCACCCCGCACATTGCGCCAACCACAGGGCAGGCACATTCTCTGTGCGCCGCAACCTGTTGTTGTTTTTCATCGGCGCCGTGTAGAGCCAAAAAAGACTGGTCCGGTCTCTGTGTACGCACTTGCCCCCTTTGTCCATCTTCCCTCCTTGGGCGTTAAGAAGGCCAAACCGTGCACGCAAACGATCATCTAGGAGGGTAGTCCTCTTAATTTGATGTAATTTTTCACATTTGCCCCCCCCCGATTTCGGATCTGTAATCATCGCAAGATCGTGACGTTCACGTTTCGCGTTGTAGTGCAAGAGGATCACCCACATGCTGGGCCGTACACACTCGGTTGATGGTCCCTCGGAAGACGATGGTGGAGAGGTACCGCCGCTTCCCCTTTCTGCGCTGATCCTCCCAACCATCTACGCTGATCCAGCTGACCGCGGCGGACTTCTGGCCGTTGGCTCTTCTCTCTTACTTCTCCCGTTGGAGAAGAGAGGGTAAGGGAATGACCGATTGACTCACTTGTTTCTTCTTGTGCCATCCATCCTACAGAGTCTCCTAACCCGCGTCCTCAACCACGACAATTGCGACTCTTGCGGTGAAGGCGGCGAGCTCATCTGTTGTGATCGGGTACCCTGCAGCCCTGTGAACTCGTCTGAGACTTTATTTGGCTTTCTCGAGCTCACTGAGGACTCTCTGTAGTGTCCCGCATCCTTTCACTTGGAGTGCTTGAATCCGCCACTGCCTTGCGTTCCGGATGGCGACTGGTTCTGTCGGGCCTGCCTCCTGCAAGACACGGTACACCAGCTACAGACACCATTCATTGAGTTCATTTCAAACGCCAAAAGGCTTACTATTCGCTTCATTGTCGTGCTGATCTGTGGTTGGTTGCCGGTGAGTAGCCGTTTGAACCCCAATCGATGGAAATGACGATTATGGGGCGATTGCTGCAGCACTTGGAAGGCCGCAACACCGTCGCCTTCTCGCTTCCACTGGGGGTCATCAAGGCCGTTGAACGTACGTTCTAGTCGACCCCGCCGCTACGCTTGATCGACAAAGCGCTTACGGACGACAAAAACCACCTCAGAGCGGTGCACAGCAGAGGATTACGCCGATGGGCAGGACGACGCTGACGCACCAGGGGAGAGCAACCTCTTCGATTCTGATCAGAGCGACTCCGACCGGGGCCTGCGGCAAGGCAAGCGCAAACGACGGCACGACTCCTATTGCAGCGTCTGCTCCCTCCCTTCGCCCTCTCGCGACGACTTGGCACAGTGCACCAGGTACGCAGCCCTGTTCCCTCTGCCATTTCATGGTGGTGGTGGTGCACGCTAACGAATTCCACAGATGCCCGCACTCTTATCACCTGTGGTGTCTCGATCCACCGCTGCTGGCGAAGCCCACGGTAAAGTGGCTGTGCCCTTCGCACCCCGATGAGTCGCTCGGCTCTTGTACCCCGTTGGTATGTACCCCCCTTTCTTCGTGTAGCTAGCGGTCATTATTTCTCAAAGCTTGGCCATCTGACGTTGCTCTCTCTCTCTCTCTCTCTCTCGCCTGTAAAGTATGCTACAATGTCGAAGCGCGGCCAGACCTACGTCATCCCCAAGGCGAACATACGGCTGGACTTTCCCTTTTGCACCACCCCTTGGACCCCGCCCACGCCTCCATTGCCACAGACAATGTCGGCCGAGTCGAATGGAGCCGGCGAGGTTGGCTTGCCTCCTCTTCACTTCCACAAGTCGCGCACACTTGACTTACCTATACCTCAATGCGGCGCTGTTTATTTTTTTATTTCGTGCATCATCAGGCTAAGGCAGATCAAATGCTGGTAGAGGTCAACCAGACCAGGACGGTACCCCGGCCCAGCAGACAAGACCAAAGAGAGGTGCGCTCTCAGCCTCGCCGTGTTGTGTGCGTGTGCACGACTCACACAGCACGCGCTCGTGTACGCAAACTGCAGTGGCTCAGCAGTTTGTTGGCCTTCGAGAGCGAGATCAAGAAGGAGCTCGTTGCCCTCGATAATGGTACTTGGCAATCAATCTCAAGTAAAAGACTCTCCGGGGTATTCGGTCTGATCGCGTGTGGGGTGCGCAGAGGAGGTCCCGGTCGATACAGAGGCGGCGGCGTCCACGCTCACACTCATGCTTGACACCAATCACACGGGCAAGAAGCCAGAGGACTACATGGACGTTGCAACCTCCTCTGAGCAAAGTCCTTCTAAGAACAAACGACGCAAGCCGGCCAACGGAAGCAACGACAGCCGACGGCTGGCCCCAACAACGCCCGCTTCAGCAGAACCGAAGGGCAAGAAGCCGTTGCCAGCCGCCAGCGTCAAGCTCGACGAAAGCAAGTTGGCGACGCTCCTGTCGGGGACCAAGGACCCAGCAGACATACTCCGCCAGCTGCCGCCCGACGTGCTGCAACAGCTCGCCCTCCAGCGTCTGGAGCAGATCGCCCAGGTGGAGGGCGCCGCCGCTCCCGCTCAGCCCTCTTCTCGCGCCACCGCGCAGTCTTCACCTCATCATTCCCTGTCCTCTTCCCTGCTCTCGACTCCTGACCGTGTGACCACTTCTTCAGCCTCGGTCGCCTCGCCATTCACGACGTCGACGACGACACGCCAATCCTCCACGCCAACAGCGACCACCATGGCAACAACGGCGCCACCACCACAACCACCACCATCAGCAGGAGCTCCTCTCTCGCGCACCGCTGCTTCCGCCCAGAAAGCCGACTCTCCGCCCAAACGCTCCGCGCGGTTATCCGCGAAGTCTTCTCCGGCCGTGGCTCCACCCGTCTCGGTTCCTGCTCCTACTCCTACGAGCTCCGAGACCACTCCCGCCGCGGCTCCCATCACGGGCAAGAAGCGCCCTGCCCCCAGCCCGACTCCCACTACGACGGCGACGCCGACCACACCCATTTCCAACAAAAAGGGACGAACTTCAGCTACTGAGGCGGCCCCGTTGGCCCCCGTCGTTGCGGGGAAAGCCTTGCCGGCCTCTGCGGCTGCGCCGCTTGTCTTCCATATGGAGATTGGGCCGTCGCCCGTTCAGCCACAGCGCGTGGCCACGACGCCCGCGGCCCCGGCCGCCGCCACTCCCACTCCCACTACTCCTTCACTCTCTCCGGCGGACGTGCACAGTTACTACATCGGCAAGACGCAGCCAAAGCCGGCCTCTCCCGCCGGCGTCGCTGCTCGTCCTCCTGCTCCGCCGACGCCCGCAGCTCCTCAACCGCTTGCTCAGGCCCAGGCCCAGCCCCAGACGCCCGCCGCTGCTCCCGTGGCGAAGCCTGTCGCTGCTCCTACGAAGCCTGTCGCCGCTGCCCCCGTGCCGGCG